TGATACACACACACACACACGAATCGTCTTCTTTCTCTAATGATTTAATGAAACATAAAAGCTTCCGCGCTTTGCGCGGGAAGGGGAAAACTGTATTCATGCAGGCGAGGATTATTTTCGAGAACGGTACAACGAATCGTCTTGTTTCTCTAATAATTAAATTAAATGTCAAAGCTTCCGCGCTTCGATCGCGCAGGAGGTGGGGTAACTGAATTTAGACAAGGATTAAGAGTCGAGAACGATACAACGAATTGTCTTCTTTCTCTAATGATTTAATAAAACGTAAAAGCTTTCGCGCTTTGCGCGCGCGGATGGGGGGGGGAACTGAATTCAGACGAGGATTAAGAGTCTAGAACGGGACAACGAATCGTCTTCTTTCTCTAATGATTTAATGAAACGTAAAAGCTTCCGAGCTTTGCGGGGGAGGGGGGGGGGGGATGAATTTAGACGAGGATTAAGAGTAAAAAACGGGACAACGAATCGTCTTCTTTCTCTAATGATTTAATGAAACGTAAAAGCTTCCGGAGGGGAACTGTATTCAGACGAGCAGGCACGTACGCAGGGGGGGGGGGGGGGGGGGGTTTCGGTTTTTTTATGTCTGTATTTTGGAGCAAACCCCCCCCTTTTTTTTTTTTTAATGAAACACACACACACACACACAAATTATGCCAATGGCTGATCTAAAAAAGGTGACCTCACCCCCCCACCCCTCCCCCCACATGTCAAATTTTCAAATTTCGAGACCAAAAAACAAAAAAAGTGTCCTCTTTCCCCCCCCCCCCCCCCCCGCTTATTCAGCGGCTGGCTGAGTCGTTGCGATTTTTTTGGGGGACAAAAAAAAAAAATGGGCCCCCCCCCCCCCCCCCCCCTAAGGAAGAAATCCTGGATCCGCCCCTGGGTGCACATATCCCCCCCCCCCCCACCTTGAAAACAACGGCGTGAGGTGATTTTACGCGCACTTTCCACGTTGGCCTTAGTGCCCCTTAGGATAGATTTGTGCCCCTTTCAGTGGATTTGTGCCCTCTCGAAAAAGTGGCCTTGACCCAAATTTGATGTAATTCGAGGCCTGCATGTACATCTGCAGATAATGGAGATGATGATGATGATGATGATGATGATGATGATGATGATGATGAAATACTCTTTATATGATGATGAAATACTGTTTGGTATACAGCTCCATGCAGCTTTTATAGTCTGTGTGAGAGACAAAAGGGCCTTAATTCTGTGTAAAATGATTATGCAATAACGCCCTTCATGCTCTCAGCAGACAATAATATGTCTGTTTGAAGCCAGAAGGGCATTACATCATATAATTTAAAACAAAATTTAAAGGTAAAGACCAGTTATGGTCATGCGATTGCATTGTGAAAGAAACGTTGTGGAATCGATCAGAAAAGGTTGATCATCTAGCATCTAGCATCTGCAAGGTTCTGAAATCATCAAAATGATAAGAAATTTGGCCCATTCTTCGTAAAGTTACAAGCACTATACACAGAAAGATGTATATGGGACTACCCTATATCTCTCACAGTCCATGAGAGAAACAAATTTACCAACTTAGTAGGTGGTTTCCCGGCAAATTTTTTATCATCATGTATTAGTCAAAACATATTCTTTCACATGATTGGAAATGAGAGCTTCTATTTCATTTTTTGAAATTGGGGCGTTTCCAATACTGGCCTTTACCTTTAACACCTTTCAAGCTCTCATGAGTATGATAATTCAAACTACATTGTACGATCCATTGCTAGACATGGTCAGGCATTTTGGGTTGCCAATTTGCTCATTGCGGCCACATGGCCCACTTTCACGGAGACTGACAACACACGTGATGTTTCGTAGAATCTATTCTGTCCACCACCGCCCCCTCCCTCCCTCACCCAGCTATAAATTGATGACCTACAAAAAATGCCCTCCGACAAAGCAGTACACGCACAGTAGCTGTAAACTCTCCCACTCACTTTCATGATTTTTGATCCATCACATTTTCTTCCACTGCTGGCACATTTGAAAACTGCTTTTTCCAAAACGCACTGATCATTTGAAATTTAGAAAACAAACGATCTTCTAGGAAACTGCTCTTCTCATTTTCATAAATATATTGCTTGCTTTTCCCTTTTTTTCCCTTTGACACTACCGGTATATTCCAGGTTTGTATGTGTAGTACAAGGGCAATCCAACTATATTGATTACAACTTTCAAGCATTCATAGCTTTCTCATGGTTTGTTTGATTTTATTCAAACTTCACCAATCTGTTTCTCTGTTTTTTCTGCTTCCCTTGAGAGCAATTTGTTATTAAAGTGGTTTTGTTTCTTCCTTCATTCCTTCTTTTTTTACATGTGTACATGTTAAAGTAAATTAAGGGAAAGCGGGGTTTAAAAAAAAGATATACAAAAGCTCCTGCATGCATACTCACTAGTTGTGTGTTCTAAGATTTACAAATGAAAAGGTGAAGCATGTCATTAATTGTAAAAGAAAAATTAAACAAATAATTGCTCCTGCTCACCACTTCATATGTGGAAGAAACTTAATTCATCCATCAATCTAAATGCTCAGCACATACAATGTAACCGGGGCAAGGGAGTCCTTTATTGAAATGAATGACAGGTTTCAACACAGCTTGTGGTCTAACATAATTACCAGCAAGTGGGACTACGCTCCACTTGCTGTCTGGATCCAACATAATTATAAGCACGTCGGACTACACGCCAGTTTCTGAAGGCCTTTTGCTACAAGCTTCGTCTTTTGAGAAGCCATGTGCTACTATTTAGGACAAGACAAAGGGATATGGAAAGCCAATCATGTATGTCCGTGCATAGGTAGCAAGGTCTGCAGACATAGTGGTCCCACGTATAGAGAAATCTGCTGGTATGCGCTGGACTGTGAAAGTGGTTATAGATTTTATTGGATAACTCCTCTAGCACAAGGCTAATCTGACTTGTTTTTCAGATTTAAGTGTGAAAGGCCTGGAAGGGCAACTATTCAAATTCCAACAAATACTTGAATGATGTAACAATTATGCAGAAATTATGGCTTCCTGACATTTACGTGTATACAGAAACTGACATACATGTACCATCCAACGTAAAATGTGGTTTGAACTATTATTTATTTTTTTATTTTTTAAATTCATTTGACTAAAATAAAGCAGATTTTTCCCTTTCATGTCGTCAAGTTGCATCTCAAGAACTCATAAATGCTGCACAAATGTAGAATACTTCCAAACTTGAAATATGCCAATTACAAGCATTTCTACATTCAACTTTGTTGCATTATTTGGCATGAGGATAAAAATAGATTTGAAATCAAAGGAATTCAATGAATTTGATTGAATTTAGCCAACTCCTCCCCAAATTTTGCTCATGATTCTACTGAACAAGCCAAGAATAATGACTGTACATTAGAGAAAGTGATCTTTAGAGCAGATATTGCTCTCGTCCCACATCCTTTTTGGCACTCCAGTTTGCCATCGTAATGGTGACAGTGTCACGAATGATCGTTTCCTGCCAAAATAATTTCTAATCGTTCATGCTAATTGCAATTGTGCGCTGATTATTCCTTCAAATAAAGTATCTTTAAACTCATTTCCTGTTTGCTTCACTGGCATAGCCGAGGAAATGGATTAATGTATGAGAGACGACTCCATGCTAAAAAAAGAAAGCTATTCGAAATAAGTGACAAATTGACTAACTGAATGAAATACTCCAATTATGTGAAGAAGAAGAAAAAAGTAAAGAAATATTAATTACAAATAAGTGACGCGTGAACTAATCAAATGAAATATTCCAGTTATGTGACAACTAAACTGCCTATAGATAGAGAATTATGCGATTCTAAGCAAAGGACAGATTAGTCAATTCTTTAAATAATGAAAAATGTGCCTAGAAAATAACTGGTTAGTCAACACACTTACAAGGAATGATAATAAGGTAAATATAGGCCTTTATCATTTTATAAGCTAGAAATAGATCTTATTCAAGTACATGTACACATACTTGAGCCAGAAATAATACTAAATTTGTATAATGAAACCAGAATAAATTTGTATATCTGTAAAGACAGTTCCTCTTCATAAAATATTCCTGCTCAAAAGAAAATTTGAAGTCATCAAAAACATACAAAGAGAAACAAAGTCTTGATATTGTATGGTTTATGCTCAGTGGCTCTTCGAGTTGTTGCTATGACTTTTTTTCTCAAAGGTCTGTTTATCACAAAGTCTGACCTTCCAAAGGTACCATGCATAAATAGATCCGTGGATTGATGATATTTTCAGATTGCAAAATGCATCAAATTCCCTGATTTATAAGCACACATTTCATGTATTTCATTTTCAAGAATAAACCCTCAAGTCCGTATTCTGACTATATGTTTGTTCGATTTGAATTATGAACATCTGCAAGAACAAGCCTTTAAAGTACAGTTCATCTTTGAGTCCCATTAATGACTTGTTTGTATTTGAACAGTAATTCAGAAAAAACGAGCCTCATCACATTCCATAAAACCTGTCATAATAATATCCTAATTGTCCCCCTTTGAAGCCACAAAGCAATAAATCCAAATTTGATTTTATGAACATGAACTACAGTTGACACCGACATCCGCAGTAAACAACAGATATCGGTTTATATGATCTATGGATATAAAAAGCAAAAGGGTCATGAAAAAAATATATTTGAATTCCTATACCATCGCAGTTTGCATGTTAAGAAACGAGGTTAACGCAAGAAAGAGACTTCATGCAAACAATGAAACTGAATTTATGGAAAATTTGAAGATGGAGAAGGAAAGAGTGAGGAAAAAGTAACCAGAAGAGTTCCTCTAAGTGATCTTTAATTACAAACGTGTCTGCCATTAACCGAAATGCTGCTCACAAATTCAAATTTAATCTTTCAATTTATTTCCGAGCATGTTAGGACACAGCATGTGAAAGAGAAGAAAACATTCTAACATCATTTGAAATTCTATTAGAGTGATTGAAAGAAGAAACTTTACACACCTGTAATATCTTGATTGGAGATACGTTGAACACACTGCCTTCGAGACGTGACTCGCCGACCCGAAGTCAATGACCTTAACGCGGTATGGCTGCCGGACGGGGTCGACCAGCATGATGTTCTCAGGCTTCAAGTCCGCATGTATCAATCCTAGGGTCTTGAGTTTGAGAAGCGCTACCAGTACCTGTTGCAGGGTGGGGCGGATGTGTTTCAGAGGGAGGGGGCGGAACTTACTCTGCTTGAGGAAGTCGTAGAGGTTCTTCTCAAGGAGTTCAAACACGAGGCACGTGTGGTTTTTATGCTGGAAGTACTCGTAGGCGCGCACCAGGTTGAAGTCGTCGGCGTTCTCGGCGCTCAGCCGCGCCAGGATGCTGACCTCGATCTGACCCTGCCGCGCGTAAGAGGGGTGGTTCTTGAGGATCTTAATGGCAACGATCTCGTTGGTCCCGCGCTTCCAGCACTTGACCACCTGCCCGAACGTCCCCCTTCCCAGGAACTCCAGAACTTCATAACTGTTCGTTAACGAGCACAGCACCTCGTGCTGTACCAACTGATAATCGCCTTCCCCGCCCGACGAACTCTTCTTCGACGAGTTCGCATTCTTATTCGAGTTTGTTGCCGTATTGGCGTTACTTGTTGTTGCCTTACTTGAGTGATTAGATGTATGCGGTTTCTCATGTTTCTCGCTTCGTTCCGTCCTGTCTTTGTAATCATTCCGGTTAGTTCGTTCTTGGCGCTCGTGTCGGTCATGCCTCGTGCTGCTGTACTGACGATGATTATCCAAATTTTCCTCGCTCTTCCGTTTCAACCCACATTTCTGGTACGTATCCAACAGCCTTACCGTCGACGCCTGAATGACGTTCTGAGTTCTTCGGGACGATGAAGACCCACTGCTCTTGGAGGTCGACTCCAAGGGCAGTGGGTCCTGTGAATTTGAGTCTGTCAAAGGGACTGTCCGTAAAGTGCTTGTGGATGTGGAGACCCCTGTGTGGGGATTGGTGGTTACTATGACGTCATTGTTGTTGGATGCGGACTGCCGCAGCTGATGCGTTGCCGCGGCGACATGGTCGACGTGACCCTTCTTGAAGGAGCAGAAGGCGCTGGATTGTGAACCAAAGTTTGCACTCCGGTTGAGGGATGACATTCCTGGAGACAACAGACAAAAGAGAAAGAAATTATGTTAAAAATCATTTTAGAGAAAAATATTGGAGGAGTCGATGGAAATGTCAGAGACTACTTGCCTCTTTCAAACTATATGTATAGTACTTGGAAGTAAACTTTTACTACTACACTGTACACATATATGCCATTGTTCACATTTCCAAGAAAGAAAATTTCACAGGGTACCGAGGGCTTGAAGTCCTCTCCAAGGAATTTGAAAATGAGGATCAATGCCTTACAAGAGGGAATGAGCGCATCGACTTGGTTTCAAACCCGGGACCTCCCAGTTACGACACCACTTCTCTACCACTAAGCCAATGACCCAAAATAAAGACAGCAAAACAAACATTAACAAACTTGTCTTACAATTGCAATTTTGTTAGGATATAGAAAAGCTTTGTTATGGATGTTACTTAACAGGAACTTCATTTCCTAACAATGCCTTATCCACATACATTATTGGTGCTTGTTCAGGCAGGCAAACAATTTGCCAAAATGTACATAATCATGTAGATGTTTCTTTGCAAAAACCTTAAAATATGGAATCTATCAAAATATCAAAAATATCACTTGAAATATTCTTGTCTCTAAATGATTCATATGTTGTCCACTTCATATTCCCATCGCTTCCTTGTGTACCAGCAGATGCGTGGTTGCATGTACAGTACTTTCCTAAGGTACTATTTATGTCATATGATATGACCACAACACAATAGAGACCAAATTAGAAACTTGCTATCACCTGAAACAAATCTATTCCTGTGCTGTCCTTGCAGCTATTTTGGGGACTGAAATAGCTAAAATTGGGTGTTATGATGGAATTGTTGTTTCACGCACAGAACAGCGCAAGCTCTCTATAATTTCCCACTTCATCTTATTGAAGACAGTGATTTTACGAAGATAGCATTTGATAAAGCCGGGGTAATAATCTCCAAGTTTGGAAGCGCTTAGTGATTGTAATAGGCACTATATAAAAACAATATTATTATTATTATTATATTGTTAGAAAATAGAATTATTATCTGTACTGACTGTAAATATGTTTGCACTATCAACATTGGCTGGCAATATCAGACTTATATCATATAAAATAGTAATAATAGTAATGATTTATTTAACCAAAAATGTGCATCACAGCTCAAAGGTTGGATTGTACAGTATTTTTACAAAAGTATTAACATGATAAAATAATTCACTAAATAGAATCATATGAAGTGAAAAAATAGCAATACAAGCAAAAATTCCTAAAGCAATTGTAATTTACCCATGAACATATTACATGTGAGTCATTTCTTGTTGCTAAACATGAAATGTGTGCACCATCTCTCTCTCCCTGGGGAACATCCAAAGCCATACTGGTACAATTTTTATCACATGATAGTGATAGAATATGCATCCACAGGTTGGAAAAGAGAAATAAATGACTTGAACAAAGTTTGGCACTGACATAAATCATGACCTTTCTGATAAAATGATCTCACGCATTGTACATTTGTATGTCAATAAGGGTAAAAAAAGTCTGTAATTACACTTACCCAAGACAAGCAATATTCCCTAATTTCATCTACTGGTTCCTCAATAGGCAAAATGTTTTCTGGTATTTAAAGTTACAGTGTGCGTATTAACCAGTGTTCTATTAAAACAGTCCAAGGCAGAGGGCTTCAAAGTTAGACTTTATCTCAAATCAAATCACCAAGTGGGAACAGCCCATGGCCCTGTTTCATAAAACTTGTTATCGATAACAAATGCTAAATTTCTCTGACAAATTTGCTCTCAGCCAATCAGATGCCACGATTTCAGTAGCTTATAACAGTAATTGTAACTTGTCATTGATAACAAGTTTTATGAAACAGGCCCAGACCTCCATATGCAGATCATCCTCCTTTACAAACTCATCCTTAAAGGTATTACAAAGTTTTGGTATGGGGTCATGAATTTGGTTCAAATTAACATATTGGAAGCATATGCGTTCCTACAATATACATTAATCGTTGTCGCGGTTAAAATCGAGTCTAAAGTTATGAAATTATAAATAATAAACTCTTTATGTTGTATAGCTCCCTCTCAGGGTCAAGATATTAATTTAGCTATGAAACAATGTTTCTTGATTAAAATCGACCGATTAGCTATTTCCGTTTGGAAATTGTATATCCCAACTACATATTCTGAGATTTTCATAGTTGCAGCTACCAGGGGTGATAGTGAGCACTAAAAAAAAATAGTTTTTTTTGTTTTCCCCTCAACCACGCCCCCCTTGAGTAAAAAAAAAAAAGACGATTCGCGGGGAAAAAATGGCATCTAACAACATTCCCCCCTTTCGAGTAAGAAAATTGAGACAAACTTGGGAAAATTGAGACAAACTTGGGAAAAATTGGGGGGAAAATTGGGGGAAAAATAGGGAAGAATAGAGATAATAAGAGGGAAATCGGGAAAATCAGGATAAAATAGGGAAGGAAAAGAAAATTGGTAAAAAAAAAATAAAAAAAAAAATAAAAAAAAATTAAAATCGGGAAGAAAAAAAAAATCGGGAAAAAATCGGGAAAAATAAAAAAAAATCGGGAAACCGATTAAAATCGGGTTTTTATCAGGCCTGAGCTACCATTGTACGGCCATAGGCGCCATTTGAAATTTATCAAAATTTATCAAAATTTACCGGGAGCACCGGTAAATTTGTATATTCAATTTTTCTCGAAAACAGAAGTGTTTTAGGGGCTAATTTTTTTAGTGCTTATAATACATCCACAGGGGCATCCACATATATCAAACTTGTAAAGATTCACTATCCACCCAATTTTCAAAATTTCCCAAAACTTTGTATTACCTTTAAGGTCCTTCCTCAACAAAAATCAATACCGACTAGGAACCTCAAGATTTCTTGGACAAAGGCGAGGAGAAAAGATCTATTGACCGTCCCTCAAGCACATCTATGCTGACCAAGTAGGGGGTTTAAATGAGATGAGTGAAAGGGTCACTTGTTGGCGCTGCCTTTTGTTCTTGGTCTGGCCCCCTTAGCAGGCCGAAGAATAGACAGGAGGTAGGATCAACTGTTAATTGAACCATTGATTGGGAGGACTAATACTGCCAAGGTACATAGGGATTAAAAGGGGGTATGAAAGGGGAGTAGAGGGGGGGGGGGGCTTAGACAAATTTGATCTAGTTTGCAAAGATGCATGGGTACATTAGGGAGAAGAAAAGAGAAGTGAAGAACATGACACTAATATGTGGTATCTAATCTAGAACCGTTTGACCATGGAGGTACCACAAGGCTGTCTTCATCAGGGATTAAAAGGGGGTATGAAAGGGGAGTAGGGGGGGGGGCTTAGACAAATTTGATCTAGTATGCAAAGGTGGATGGGGCACAATATCACCATTAGGGAGAAGAAAAGAAAAGTGACCGACATGACACTAACATGTGGTTTCTAATCTAGAACAGTTTGACCATGGTGGTACCGCAGTGGCCTATGCTGAGAACGAAGCCAGGTGGAACTTAATTTACCTTGCATGCAGATAACAGCAGATTAATTAGAAACCTAATCTATCATAATCCCATAATCTCTTAATCTGACAAGTCCAATCAAGTTTTGTCTAAATTTTCTGTTAAAAAGTGCAATCCTAATCGACCCAATACCTAAAATAGGAGAATCAGGTGGTTCCTATTAATTAAACCACTGAATAAACTCTTTAATAAATGAGCAAAAAAAGGAGAGAATTAGAACAAAGTACATGTTGCAAATTTGAACTTTCCGTTCTTCACTAAAGCATATACTGTAGATAGATACATGTAGTTGTGACATGCGTACACGAAGTTGGGTCATACAGTAGGTTAAATCACGTTGCTTCAAATCGTTCTCTCCCATGAACAATCTACATGGGAGGGACAATTTTGGAGCTTCATGAAATGCCTGACCAATCAGACGCAACTTCCGGAGACATGACTATCCCTCTCAGGTAGCTATGGTCTTCACAATTATTTGACGATCCATACTCTGTGTCCAGAATTTCAACAGAAGTGAACACAAATTGGCATCTCTTTCTCTGATGTTCTACTCTATAGGCTTTATTAAATAGCCCTGCAATACAATTTTACGCTACAAGCATATTTTACACTGCAACAAAAACAGGACACAAATTGGCAACTCGTCCCGATCAAGGGCTATTCCATGATATGACCTCATTGGGTTTCCCAGCGTCAGGAAAAAGCGTTCCACAGCTCACTCATCGTTCGATCATGTGACCTTTGTAGATTAAACAGGAAACCACAGCCTAGGGTCTCCGAACATAGCGCAGTTCAAGGCTTCTATAGGATTGCCCAAAAACATAGGCTTGGTGATATGTAAATAAGAAATGGCATAATGCCTAGACATGTAGTGAGAGGCTAGTCAAATGGTGATAAGGTTCACTCTGAACAGACAACTCAAATAATAAATTTTACCTTTAAATTCTGTATTATGTTGAACAGGAAATATTTCCAAGATAAATAGTACTGAAGACTTATAAACCAATTTAATATCATTAAAATGTAGGCCTACATGTATGTGTACAGTATGTACATGTACTTTGTGGTCACCTTTACCAGAAAGACCTTTGTTTTTTGTTTTTGTGTGCAACCATTACATGAGCACACTGCTAATCTCACTTGTATGTAGAAGAACATTGTAGAATACCAAAGTTGATATCCGTCTTATAATTGCAAGTCCTCCAATCAATCGTAAGTTTGCAGTCCCCCATCTCTTATAAATGTAAATAATTGCGATATATCAATCGCAAATTAGTTGAGATTAATATCACCTCCTTATAAAATGTGGCCCTGGTAAAACTTTAAAAGTTATGGACTGCTCCATATCAGAAATCAATACAGGGGTCAAAAGGTCAAGCTGACAGGCGAATACCATCAGAGCCACTAGCTTGCATCAGTCACACAAACAAATGTGTTTAGACGGACAGAGAGGTTCAAAATGGTGATAAACGATGGACGTCATCTTGTT